TGAGAATTTTCCTCTGAACACTAGATCTACCAAACTGTCAAACTGTAGGAAATAGCAGTTACCTCGTCCATTTTTAATTAGTTTCACACTTTTGTTCCTTCAAGAAGTATTCATTGAAGAGGGCCTACATGAGCCAATGTGCTTGGAAAACAAAAACACAGTGGTGTACAAAGTAGATGAAGTCTCTGTCATCATAAAGCATATAGTCCAGTAATCCTTTATTTTCATTTTCAAGGTGTTTTTTTTCTCAGGGATTGCACTTTCTAGGAGGATATTTTCTGGAGAGGGTGGGGTCATAGGAAGCAAGAGCATACATATAACCTTGAAATCCTTATCCCTCTAAGTGCTTTCCAGTAAGTGGAACACATGTGCCTCAGACAACCACACCAAACCCAACTGAAGAAATACCAACTGTTCACCACACATCTGTTTCAAATAAACTAAGGACCACCCCCTAAGAGAGCCCATTTTTCAAGTGGGAAGAATTTGTTTGCCTCGAAACACAACCTTCTTGCTGCAATCCCACTGGCTCCACTATTTCCAGCGCTATTTTACAACGAGACAGTCAGGTGTGTGCTAAACCCAGGGTATTGCTTTTCTAGTTTTTCTCCTGTTGCTTCCTTTCAGCAGTCTCATTTATAGCTACTACTGTAGCTGTTGATAGGTTTACCCCTCTTTGCTGGAGCCACTTACTGGTTACACTTCACAGGCAGGGTTCCTCACAGTGTGCCCAAAGAATCTGGTTCTTGCTGCCATGCCACACCTGAAGTTTTCTGTGGTATCGTGTGGAAACTCTGCTTGTCCTGCCAAGGGCAATGCTGCTGCTTCGAGACCATTTTGCCTCCCCAAACCCCACACCTGATTAACTGGTGCTAGATGAATAATGCTTCTCTTCCACCTGAACAATGGTCTTTAGTCACTACCTGGGGAAGAGCTCAGCAACTGCAGGTCTGCAGACCCACAGGCCTGTGGGAGGAGTCACATGCTCAGTTATTTCCATTAAAGTTTGGTGTCTGTCTCAGTCATTTCCCATAGTAGGACATCTGCCTGTTCCCTGCAAAGTGGGGATCCATGGCCATGAGGTTCTTTTCACTGACTCCTTTTTTCCTTACACTCTCAAGGCTTATGTTTGTGGATGAGCCTGGAGCTTTTGCTTCTGACTTCTCCAAGTCTTCTCCTGTGGAAGATCAGGCATACATGGAAGCCCCTATAACCCTTCTTTGTTTATTACTGAGAATCAGAGTAAAATACAAACTTTTATAAACTTGCTGTGTTATTGCTTGAATTGAATTGGTATAAAATGGGACTCAGTGATGTTTGTAAATTGATATAAAAAACCATCATTCTATCCTTGTATTTCATATATACTCTAAATAAAATGTCAGAGAGTGTCATCCAGCAGAGAATAAGTACTGTCTGTGTTAGGCAGTAAAAGCAATATGAAGGCACGGGTGGGAACCCGAATTCCTGATTTCCTTTACCAGCTTTATTATCTACCAAGTCATGAACTCTGACATAGCAGGGATGATATGTTACTCATTTTTGTGTGTCCAGAGTATGGCATGAGGCCTGGAACATAATAACACTCAGATTGTTAAACTGAAATAATATCCTTGCTTCATCTTCTCCAAGTAGCTTTTTTGGGGGAATTTTATTGGGTCCACTCTATTTCTACTTTCAGCACAAGATCCCGTAGAGAGCAACTGTGGGCAGGAATCTCCACAGGGAATCAGCTTGTCCAGGCCTCTTTCTCTGTCATTGAGCCATATGAAATGGGTGTGTGTGTGACACACAACTCCAACTATAATTGAGGGAATACCTCAATGTGGCAGGTTTGAGATGCTCATGCATGTTATTAGCAATAGTTGGGAGTGACTGCATTTTAAAAGGAGATTATCCTCACTCAGTGTGACTTAGTTGGAAGAGGGGATTGGTGATGCTGTTGAGGAAAATCCTGTGGAAAATTTTACTGCAGATAGAAAGGGGAAGAGTTGCCTGATATCAAACTCTAATACGAGACTAGAAAAACATAGCTTCAGTGGGGAATTGTTTACCAAGATGGATGTCAACAATTCTTCCCATCACTGTACATATACACACATTCTACTCCTCCTGTCAAGTGCTGAAGTCTATGATCCCACTCCTTGAACTGGGACTAGCTCTCTGACTTGCTTTGACCAAGAGAATGGGCATAAGTGATGCTGTGTGACTTCAGGACCTAGGCCTTAAAGGCCTTGTAGCTTCTGTTTTTATCCTCTCAGAAGCCAGGTGCCATGTAAAGAAGTATGGGCTGTCCTGCAGAGAAGACATGGAAGATGAAAGTCCATATAAAGGAGAAATTAGGCTCCCAGTTGACAGGAGGCATCAATTGCTGGGCATGTGAGTGAGGCCATCTCAGATTCTTCATCTATGGTTGAGCCTCCCAGTTGACAGCACATGGAGTCGAGATGAGCCATTCTGTGGAGCCCTGCTTGAATTCTGCATCAAAGAATCACAAGCAATGAAATGGTTGTCACAGATAACTCAAAACAGTTCCAAGGATTGGCCAGGCGACAGAGTGACTCCTAGTGGCATTTGTGTGGTGTCTTTGTTACTCATGGCAGTGGACCTGGGAACTCATACATTCCCTGTAAAGCTTGAGATGGTCTCACTCAGACAGAACATGAGAGTTCACTTCAGGTCTTCCTGTCTGTGGATCATGTAAAGGAAGGGCAGGTTCTCAATCCACAGTCACTCCCTTTGGTTGGGCTTGTCTTGGCACTCAGAAGGCACAGATAAAAGAATGAATCTTCAGTTTAGTGAAATCAAGTTATCTTAGGAGCACACCTATATGAGTCAGTAAGTAAGGGCACTAAGGAGGTCCTGAGTGAATTTCTAGTCCAAATTGCTAGACTGACTGTGCTTGTAGAAGGTGCCTAGGATTGAGGCTGTGATGCTAAATTTGGACGTGTGACTCACAGGTGTGTTAGATTCCTGTCTTGTTCTTTGGGTCAGTCCCTTGCTTGTTATGCCAGTCTGTCTAGTGAGAAGACCCAGCCATTCTCTTATCAGTCTGCTTTCCTGGGGATTAATGTTCTGGTCTTGAACTGCAGCCTGCCCATTCTGTCAGTGTTCAGCCTGCCTGTATCTCTAGATATCACCTGTTTAGGACTTTGTCCTGCTTGTCTGTCTAAACCCAGCTTTTCTCCCTGTTAAGACTTCCTATTGGCTTAGATTACCACCTGTTGTTTGCTGACATCTGTATAGTACCTGTTCCATCTGTTTTCTTCCTTACCGTTTCTGAAACTTGATTTTTCTACCTCATTTCTTGTTCGGTCTTCACTGCATCTGCTCCATTGCATCAAAATGTTGGGGTCAAGTTAGGCTGTGTCCAAAATACAGAGTCTAATTCTTCTTCCACACAATCACCTTTAGATATTTGATAATATTTTTATTACCTTTAATCATTTTTTAAGGCTAAATCGCTGGCTCCCACATTATCAAGGTCACCCATCTATGGATATGAGTTAGCTTGTTAATATCACACACTTAAAAGGTGGCATATAGAAGTGATTCACATGCTTCAACAGAAATACAGTAGGGATATCATTTCCTATAAGGTCATTATATTCTATTAATTATGCCTACATTTATGTTATTATTTTGCATTAGCATTATAAAGGGTTTCGTCAGGGATTGATTGAGCAAGGTTTTATGGATCCTAAAGCTCATATAACTTTAGGACTCTAATAAAAAAAAGTTTATAAATATACAGTTAGTTTCAAAGTCTGTGAAAATGATAGATCTTGAAGCTTAAGTTTTGTTAGTTTCATGGCAAATCTACCTCAAATTTCCTTACTATTATTTCTTAAAATTCTGCAGTCTTCTTTACCAGAACTGATATCTAATCAGGTTTCCTCTCTGCATTTGTGTGCCGTATTAAGTTTAACTTCGGTACTTAGGGGGATTAAGTAAGTGAACACATGAGAGGGATTTAGAACAATGCTTGAAAGCACGCGATAAATGCTAGCTATTATTATTATTTTATTACTTACTAGCAAGATTTTAGCAAACAGTTTATCTTTCTGATCTTAACTTTTTCTTTGATGTAATGGAGATAATATTTGCCCTGCTTTCTTCAAAAAGTTGTTAGGATCAAATGATAAAAGATGTGAATGTGCTTTTTGTTAACTGAATCATACACATAGAAGGTATTGTAATTTCAGAAAAGGTTATGATTAGGAAAGAAAATATTTAACTTTGGTCGAGGTGGAGTCACTAAAGACCTCAGCAGAGATGGAAGGAGGCAAAGGACAAGAGGTGCATGCATGGAGGATAACATGCACATCCTGTTTGACCTGCCAACATTCAGAGATGAAATAAATAGAACCTGAGAGAAAGCGGTGTAATTTTACAAATCAAAGAGCCGGGAGGTATCCTGTGTGTGTCTGTCCACAGTTGGGCCCGCCCTAGGTTTCCAGCCTCTTCTTGAGCCTTGCTCTGCTCTGCAATCCAGGCCTCTGCAGCGGAGAAATCCTGCTCACATTTTGGGTTCAGCAAAAAATCCCCTCCTCCATGGGGGGGTTTCCCCGGTCTCTCCTATACCTCCCACAGGAAGAATAAATGGCTTTTTTCAGCGCCCTCTTTTCCTTAATTCTGTGACTCCAGGACCTAGCCTCCTGTTTGCCTTCGAATAGATTATTTAATAAAGGTTTTGTCAGTGAATGCACTTCGAAGAAGTAACTTTTAAAAGCTGACAAAAAGGCCGTTAAGGCCGGGTTCGCGGGTAAGAACGCCTTGCATACTTATATTAGCAGTCATTATCCAGAACACTTCTGGGGGGTGCGACACGTCCCCCCAGCGCCCGGCACCCGGCGACAGCTCGCGGCGAATCCCGCGGGAAGGGCTGCCCCGGGGGCGTGGCTTGGCAGCGGGGGGCGTGGCGCGGCCCGCGGGGGTTTCCGTGCCGGGGGCGCGCCCGGCGGGGGCGCAGGAGGGGCTTCCGCCGCGAGGGGGCGGGGCTGGCGCGCAGAGTCTTCTGACGGCCCCAGCCAGGGAATTTCAATTTGAAACCTAGCGGAGGGAGGAGGCGGGCCCCACAGGTCGGCGCTGGAGCTGCAGCAGGACGGTCCTAGCGGCTGGCAACCTCCTGAGGCGCGGTGTCCGGGTAAGGAGGCGTGCGGGACTACGGATTGGTGGACTTAGGGCGGGGAGCCCGGGCCGAGTGACGAGTCCTTGAGGAGCTGCAGGGGCGGCTCAGATTTTTCCTCTGGCTGCAGCTGGGAAGCTGATCCCTGGCAGGAAGCGGTGGCGGGACGGTCCGACCGCGGGGGGCAGGGCGGCCGGTTTTGGGATTTTCTGCGGCCCCCTCTCTCTTCCCCTTCTCTGCGCTACCCCAGTCCTGTCCCGCGGTCCGGGTGCTATAGCTCCAGGCCGGATCGCCGCTTCCCCGCTCTCTGCGGTCCTCCTCTCACCTCCTTCCCGGGAGCCAGGAGAGGTGGGGGCTTGGGGTCACGCGTCGCGAGGACCGCGCAGGGGCCGGAGGAGGAATCCGGCTCTGTCCCGGGCGCGGGTTGTGGCTCACGAGCCTATCCCGGCAAGGAGCGGCCGCCCACCTTCGGCGCCTGGCGTTATGCGCGGGAGCTCGGGGGAGGCGGCGGCGGCGTCCTTCGAGAGGATGACTTTGGGAGAGGAAACGGGGGCGAGGACGCCGCGCCTCCCTGGGCCCGCCGCTCGCTCACCGCGGGGAGCGGGGCGAAGGCGGCGCGCCACCTCTACGCGCAGCTCAGGCCGGGCCGGCGTGGGTCCCCGGGCGCCCCGGGTTGCCGCCCGCGCAGTCGCGGAGGACGCCCGCCGCTGGGGCGGATGCGGGAAGGGAAGCACGTTTTTGCGCTGCGATCCTTACAGTTCCAGTGCCTGGGCTGTCTCACTACAGATTGCTTATTTTCCTTCTCCCGGGCTGGGGCAGAGGGTTGGGAGCGTTTTTAGGTGAGTTGTAGGGTAAAGACGAGAACTGAGCCGAGCAGGCAGGATAGTAATTGGCCACCGGGGCCGCATCCTCAGTCCTGAGACTGTGCCCCAGTTGCGGTGGGAGGGGAAGGAACGGGGTGGACGGTGGGGGTGGGGTCGGGCGTAGGTCCCTGTGCTTCCCGAGATTACAAACCTCTTTTGACGTCAAGTTTTTGATGAGGTTAGAAGGGCTCTTGTCTAGTCTATTATTTTCGGGATGGGTGGTGGGGGTCTCTGTGTGAAGCCTTCCTGACCCGGGATGCTTTAAATTGGACCACCATCACCACATCCGCTGCCCCTGTTTTTAAGAGGGAGGGAAGGTGGAACCTGGACGCCATGGATGTCTTTTATTTATTTTTTTGAATTAACATCTTTTCCTCAGTTTCTTGAACTTCTTGCGTCTGAAATGGTGTTTTGGAGTGTGCCTGGCGTCTTGTTCTTCTTACGGTTTTTAAAATATTTTTAAAAAATGATTCTTACAGTTTTCCCCGTATTCTTCCATTTTCTTTAGTTCCCTTTATTTTTCCCCTTGTTTTGTTCTTTTCTCACCGGATTCCATTATTTCCACATTTTCTACTTACAAATGTATGAAAAATTAGCATTTTAGTCGATGGGTTTAGCATTTGAGGGAAAATGACTCAGTTTCTCTGCTAACAGCTGGGACGTAGAATATCTCAGGCTTTGAACAGGTTTACTGGGCAACGAATAGCACCTAATTTCTATTTTGCAGGCACATTGCTGTGAGAAATCACTGGATTGCTCTTGTAACCACTGATGGGACTGTATTGCAATGCAATCTTGGATTGTAATAAGGGCCAACTGGGTACATCCATCAGTCTGACATTTTTTAAAGAGCTAGGCAGTTCACCTGGCAGAGTTTGGGTGATCGGTCCTGTAATTCAGTTTGAGAACAACCATCACCTCAGATAGCTATTCTTTAGGATTTATTGGAGAACAATGGTGTGGATTTAGGGCTAATTTAATCCTATCCTGTCTTCCTAATTTCTTGGGCAGAATTTCCACCGTAGTCAGTAGTGGTCTTGTGTGCAGAAGGACTGCTGAGAACAAGAGGCTGCTCATTTAGAGTAAGGAGAGGAGACAGTTTCTTTCCTTTTAAAACATTTCTCTTTAAGAAAGACTTAGTCATAACAGTTCTTCAGTCTTTTACCTTCAGTCGAAGTAGTTAGAGCCATTGTTGTGTGCAAAGACTTTCTAGAGAAAATAGGGTAAATTGAGCCACCAACTTCAAATTCTTAATAGTTAAATTAGACAGGAATTGTTTAAAATGATTAAAAGTGGTAAATCATTTAACAAAAGTTAGAATTTCAGTAAAATTATTACTAACTCATGTAAAAATTTTAAACTGGTATGGAATATTTTCAATTGGGTATGTATATTCAACTGGGTATGTGTACAACTCTGTATGTATATTAAAACCTGAAATTCAATTCCGAGTAGAAATAAGCAAATTTGCAGATTTAGAGGATGAAGCTAAAGACAGGCCCACCAAAAAATAACTGCAAATATAAAACCAGGAAATTCAGATAAGTCTTACCGTATTTGGAGAGGGACCTGTTAGTACAGTTTGCATATGTACATGCGTTAGTGACTGCCAGCTCATCATTAAGTGTGTTAGCACTTGGAGGTTTCCAGTTTAGCTTTGTGCTGACCTGAGTTGGTAAGCTTGTGAGGTTCTTTGCTTCTTAACGTAACATTCTTGTGGTTTACCCTTTTCAAATTACCAGTTGTACAGAATTGAGTTTAGAAAACCTATCCAGTTACCAGATTTTAAAAATAGATTTTTAAAAATCATAACCATGTCCACGTGTACTACCCATCAGCTTGCTTTCAATTAAAAATACACACAAGATGACAAAGCAGTGTTTAACCAAAATATTTATTGGTAAAATAACTCTGTAATTAGTAATATCTTATAGTTATGTTTAAAATAGGTTTTGCTTCGAATCACCACTCTCATATTACTGTGGCTGGAGAATTACAAAGGTTTTATCTTTGCTATTTTATGTAGGAATAATATGGGGGTTTATATTTTATATAGTAGAATGCTAAATATTTTGAAAGATTTGCCTTTGTTTCTGTTTCCACTGGAAAGTATGGGTCTTTTTCTCTGTTTTGAGCTGAAGTAGTCTTTAAAGGCTGTGTGTGGACTTTTTTGTAAAGTATGAATTGCTAGTATTTTTATAAGGCAGTAAAATAGTTTATAGTGATCAATACTGCTGAGAGTTTAATTTTGCATTTCTAAAATTTGTGTTGTTTACTTGGAGAAAACAATGAAGTGCCCACCTCCCCCATCCCACTTTTTTTGGGGTTTACTTAGAAACATTTCCAGTGGCCTTGTTTGTTTTTTCAGATTCAGAATTACTGTACCTAACCACTGGGTACCCTTACAGATTTAAAAGCCTCAAGTAAATGTTTATGCTGGCTTCAGTAGTCAGCAACTACTAGCCAAACCCTAATTTACTACCCTTTTATGGAATTTTGGAATCTCAGGGTTGGACCTTTAGGAGTCAGAAAGCCCACTCAGCCCTTGCCTTTCTCCCCAACGCACAAACATTTCCAGCCTCTTAGGAAGACCTGAGTTGATAAATTTGTGTGTGATGCCCCTACAGATTCCAGACAGAGTATCCTTTGGGAATGCCCAAAGGATGTTTTGTGTTTGGCACAAAGCAGCAATTTTATATTCATAAGATTTTTAGATTGACCTGACTGGGCAGTTCCTCAGACTAAAATCTAAAGTGGAGTTAATGCCTGGTATCATTAACTGTAGGGGAAATAGCTTGAATACCATGTTGGAGTGGAAGCTACAGGTAAGCTAAAAAGGAAAGAAAGAAATCCTCTCTAATAGCTAGAAATAACTGATAGTGATAACCAGTGCCTTTTTAGTTTTTCTATAAAGTGTGTATGAACATGTATTTTGTGCGAGAGAGGGAATACATCTATCCGTACATAATATATAATCGTACACATATACATGTATGTATATATGTTATGTGAAGCACCTGTAACATTTGTACTTAGTACGTTTGATGAATCTATTCATTGACTGTTCTGTAAAATATTGGAGGTACTTTGAGTGAAGATTCTTTGAAAGTTGGAGTTGACATTGAAGAACCTGGTACTATTTAATGTAGAAAGGTAATGTAGGTAATATTTCATAGAGGGGATTTGCTTTTCTTATTATTGGATGTTGTTTCCCCTTGTTTTGTGGTTGGCTTGAGGTCTGTGGGTTTCTTGGATGCGTGTTTTTCATGTCTAGAAGGGTCCTTTATCTAAATACCTGATGTTTGGGATAGTATTTATTTCAATGAGAATTTCAGTGGTTTTCTAAATTTTCTCATTTTTAAATTGATGTCTCTTACCCCTTAGGAGAAGGGAGCATGCCGCCTATGAGTACATTCTTAATGCTTCTGGATTTTTTTTCAAAGATCCAAATTAGGCTCATTTCATATTCTCAGCTACTTTTAGAATGGAACTGTCCTTTTATTTCACAGATACAGCTCTACATTTTGGCATTTTTTTGCATTAGTGTATTAGAGTCATACAGTTCTAAATGTATATGGATTGTCTTCCAAATAATCTTTATAGTAATATGGATTACATTTGAAGAATAAAAATGATCTTTTTATTTACTCTGAGATGAGAAGTATCTTAGATAAGGTTTTGCTTTAGGTAGCCAAGCTGACATTTACAAGTGTAACTAAATTCTGTGTTAAGGACCAGAGGGCATGGAAATGGTTCCAGGGTGATTTTGACACTGTTCATCTGTAGGACTATCTTGTCTAGGTCAGGCAGGGAAGTCCATCGTACCTAAACTAAGTCTTTCATGCTGTGATTGAAAAGCACGTTTCCTCTTGCTTTGCTCTTTTTATTGCCTCACTGTCTTTCTCCATGAAATAATTTTCAAATGTTTAAAAGACTTATGTTACCCTTTAATTGTTTTTTTCCAAGGTAATTGTGATTTTAAAAACTTTTCAGATAGGTCTGATTACCAGCTCTCTAATCATCTTTTCCAAGCCCTTAATTCAGGTTTCCAGACCTACTGCTGAGCTGGACCCATATAACTTACAGTGCTGAGTTTAATAACATTTTTGAGTTTCCTGTATTCTACCAATATATGTACATGTTCCAGTATTTTGA